CCAATGGAATCAAATAGAAAATCCTGATATTAACCCATACACCTATGAACACCTGATTTTCGACAAAACAGCTAAAAGAATACAATGGGGCGAGGACAGCATCTTCAACAAATGGTGGCTGGCACAATTGGGTGATGGTGTGTAGAAGACTGCAGATAGACCCATGTCTGTCGCCATGCACAAAATTTAAGTACAAATGGATCAAAGACCTCAACATAAATGCAGCCACACTGAAACTCTTAGAAGAGAAAGTAGGAGGTACCCTTGAACAAATTGCTACAGGAGACTGCTTCTTGAACATAATCCCAGTAGCACAGACACTGAGAGAAACAATTAATAAATGGGACCTCCTCAAACTTAGAAGCTTCTGTAAGGCAAAGGACACAATTGACTAGACCAAATGGCAGCCCACAGACTGGGAAAAGATTTTCACCAACCCCACATCTGACAGAGGGCTGATCTCCAAAATATACAAAGAACTCAAGAAACTAGCCAACAAAACACCAAATAATCCTATTAAAAAAAATGGGGTACAGAACTGAAGAAAGAATTCTCAATAGAAGAAATCAAAAAGGCTGAAAGACATTTAAGAAAGTGCTCCACATCCTTAGCTATCAGGGAAATGCAAATCAAAACAACTTTGAGATATCATCTTACCTCTACCAGAATGGCTAAAATTAGAAACACCAATGACAACTTAAGCTGGAGAGGATGTGGAGAATGGGTAACACTCCTCCACTGCTGGTAGGAGTGCAAACTTGTACAGCCATTTTGGAGATCAGTATGGTGGTTCCTCAGGAAAATGGGAATTAGTTTACTACAAGACCTGGCAATCCCACTCTTAGGCATATACCCAAATGACCCACATCCATGCAACAAAGACATGTGCTCAACTATGTTCTTAGCAGCATTATTTGTAACAGCAAGAACCTGGAAGCAACCTAGATGCCTCTCAACTGAAGAATGGATAAAGATGTGGCACGTCTACACAATGGAATACTACTCTGCAGAAAAAAAAATGGAATCTTGAAATTCGTAGGAAATTGGATGCCACTAGAAGAAACCATCCTGAATGAGGTAACTCCAGTCACAAAAAGAGGAACATGGTATGTACTCTCTCATATATGGATTTTAGACCTAGAGCAAAGGATCACCAGCCTATAATTCACACCACCAGAGGAACTAGGATACAAGGTATATTTTAAGAGATTCATATAAAGTCCCTCACAGAAGGGGGAAGGGACAAGTCCCTCCAGAGTACATGGGAAGTGGGTGGGGGGCAGTGAATGGAGAGAGAAGCAGGAGAAAGAGAAGGGGAGGAGAGGAAAGCACATGCAACCAAGGAGATTGAGCTAGTGTAGGAATAGAAGACAGGAGACAGAGAGGGGGAAAGAGAGAGAGAAGGAACATAATAGAGGGTGCCATTATTGGGTTGAAGAGAAAACTGAACCTAGAGAAAGGTCTAGAGACCCACAAGACTGCAGCCAACTAACAATTTGAGCAACTGTGGAAAAGCTACCATAAATGCCCTTCCCTGATAGTGAGATCAACAACTAACTTATCCACCATCATGTAGCCCTCATCTAGTACTTTTTGGAAACAGAAGCAAACACCCATAACTAAACACTGAGTCAGACTAGAATCCAGATGCAGATGGAGAAGACAAGACCAGGCTGCAGAAACACATAGAAACAGCTGACCTGAACAAGTAGGAGCTAACGGGCCCCCAGACTGATAGCTGGGAATCCAGCAGGGGACTAACTCAGACCCCCTGAATATGGGTCTCAGCTAGAAGGACTGAGCAGTCTAAGGGACCTCAGACAGTGGAACCAGGATGTATTCCTAGTGCACAAAAGAACCTTGCCGGCACACCCACCATGGAGGGATACTCCCTTAACCTAGAGACAGGAGAAGTCCAAGTCCCTACTTCAAATGACTTGACAGATTTACATGACCCCAAGTGGATGGCATTGCTCTACATGTGGAATTGGGGTGAGGGGATGGGAGGGGAGGGTGGTCAGGGTGCATGTGAAGGGGGAAAGAGGATAAGAAGGAGGAAGGGAGGGAGGGAGGGAGAGGGAACTGGGATGGACATGTAAAAAGAAAATGGAATTCACCCAATAAAGAAAAGACCAGATATATACACCAAGAAACACATCAAACATTGTTATTCCAGATGCTTATGTCCTACAAAAACACAAACATGAATGACTAAGACAATATGTCTCCTCCAGAAACCAACAACCCAATTGTGTTAGGCCCTGAGAAAAACAGCTCACCATAAGACAGAAATTTAAATACAGCAACTGTGAATGTATTCAAAGGCCCTAAAGAGGGTAGGAATAAAGGCCTCAATAAAGACCATGAAAAGCAGGGCAGGGATGGTTCATACCTTTAATCCCAGCACTCGGGAGGCAGTCAGTCAGATCTCTGTGAGTTCCAAGCCAACCTGTTCTACAAGGTGACTCCAGGACAACAAGGGCTACATAGAGAGACCCTGTCTCAAAAGCCAAAAAACAAATGTGAAAACACGGTTGAATGAAGTAATGAAAACAATTCATAATATGAAAGAAGAATTTAACAAAGAAACAAAATCACTAAAGAAAATCCAAACTGAAATAAACTGGAAACAAAAAACTCAGGATGACAAGCAAAAACCTCAGAGGTAAGCCTCACCAACACATTAAAAAACGTGTAAAAGAGAATTTCATGTCTTGAAGACAAGGCAGAAGACAGTGGATAACTCAGTCAAAGAAAATGTTAAATCAAAACACAAGCTCAGAACATATAAAAAATATTAAAAGACCAAATCTGCAAATAATAGGAAGAAGAAATTCAGTTCAAAATCACAGGGGGGAATATACATATATATATGGTTTTGGCTTTTTTCAAGATAGGGTTTCTCTATTAACAGCCCTAGCTGTCCTTGAGTTCACTCTGTAGACCAGGCTGGCCTTGAACTCACAGAGATCCACCTGCCTCTGCCTCCTGAGTGATAGGATTAAAGGCGTGTGCCTGGCACACAAAATATATTTTGAACAAAACCATGAAAGAAAATTGCCCCAATCTAAAAAAGGAGGTGCCCATTGAGGAACAAGAAACCTAGAAAACACCAAATGCATGGAAAAGAAAAGAGATTCCCCACGACACATTATAACATTAAAAGTTCAAAACAAAGAAAGTGCACTAAAAGCTACAAGACAAAAAGGACACAATCACATAAAGGCAGGCCCTTTATATTAACACCTGACTTTTTAATGGAGACTCTGAAACCAGAAAGGCCTGGAAAGATGTTCTAGAAACTCTATGGACTGCAGACAACTATACACAGCAAAAGTATCTATCACAATTGACCGGGAAAGGAAACATTTCACATTAAAAACAAACTTAAATAATTTCAATCAAGCTGTACAAAAGGCACCAGAAAAAAAACATGCCAGCCTAAGGAGAAGGTTAGCTACACCCAAGAGGACAGAAGGAATAATCCCAGAATAGCTAAAAGGAAAAAAAAAGAAAAAGAAAAGAAAGGAAAAAAAAAACCCACAATATAACAACAAAACAATGGGAATAAACACTTTTCACCAATAACTCAATATTAATGGTCTTAATTTTCTCAATAAAAAATACAGACTAACAGACTGGATTAGAAAACAGGATCTGCTTTGTGCTGCACCCACAAAAACAAAACACACCTTACTATGAGGAAAGAAGCCACCTTAGAGTGACAGGATAGGAAAGGTGCTCCAAGCATTTGAACCCAAGAAGCAAGCAAGTGTAGCTATTTTCAGTATCTGACAAAACAGACTTCAAACCAAAGCTAATTAGAAGAAATAGGGAAGGACACTGCTTTCATGTTGTGTGTGTACATTCATGTGTGTCAGATACCTGTACTCCCAGTGTTTGTGAAAGAGGTATCTGACAGGTCTGGGGATGTAACTCAGTGGCATAATTTGTACCAGGCTTTTTCTTTTGGACCACCAACCAGCTTCCAAATCATGACATAGAGACTTATTAGTATTGAATGCTTGGCCTTAGCTTAGCTCTTTTCTTATAACTTAACCTTTTTCTCTTCATCTATGTTTGGTCTTGAGGCTTTTTACCTGATCTTACTTTCTTGCTTCTTCTATGTCTGGTTGGCTGATGGCTGCCTGGCTTCTGGCCCCAGGTATGTCCCTCATCTCCTTTTCTCATTCCTCCTCATTCTTTTTTCTCAAGCTTATATTTCTCTTCCTATTTATTCTCTCTCCCCGCCAGCCCTGCCTATCCTTTCTCTGCCTAGCTATCGTCCATTAAGCCTTTTATTAGACCAATCAGGTGCAACTGTTGCAACACATATTACATCTCCATCCACTTGCCTGGGAGGACCAGCTGTATTTCAGAGTTCCAACAGCCAAAGAGCAGATGCAACAGATAGGATGGGTAAGTGCAAGGACCTGTGATCCTTTTATCACACACCCTGGCTACCACCATCTGCATATACACCATCCCAAACATGACCACAAGAGCAGGGGAGTCCTTCACATGTGAGCCCTGGGATAACCTTTCTATTTGACTTCTACTGTATGTCCCAAGGCAGTCAGATGGCTCCAGTCCTGTAACCCAAATAATCCCCATGGGAGGTGTGCAGGCCTGGCAGGAGATGAAGGGGAGCTAGACCTGGGCCTGGAAAGGGTAGGTAAGGAGGTGTCTGCCCTGTTCTTTGTGTATTTCCTGAGGCTGTGATTGTCAGGTAGATGGAGACCAGTACCTGTGTTATGAAGGCATGATGAAGAGGTGGTAAGATGTCAGCCAGAAGACTCTGGCCTACTTAACTCAGTCCTTAATCCATCAGTACAGTTCCAAAGGTGGAGCCAACTAAGGTCCCTGGAAGTTGAATTGGTCTGCAGACCCTGGGAGCAGACCCACAGACACGCAGAGTCATTCTGAGGCAAGACACCTGTGGTTCTCCGCCCCTCCCCCTCCCCCTGCCACACTCTACCGGAAGTACCCGGCCCACTAACCTCGAGTCTCGGATGTGGACAGAGATATGGATACCGAGTCCTGGGGATCGTTTGCCAGCCGCTGCCCAGCACACATGGACTTCAGTATCTGGAAGACGGCCAGGGGAGCCACGTTCAGATTCAGCAAGTCCACCAGGATCCTGAGAAAGCAAATGCGGTGCTCAGTGAAACCCGCAAGCCTCAAGGATGACCTGCTCCATGAGTCGGACCGGCTGAGCCACCGCCCTGAAAACCCGTACAGAGACGCGGGATTTTTCTGAGTAATGGATGTCAGCAGGAGCGGTTCTGAAGCAGGCTTTTCTGCAAGAATGAGCTCGAAGCCCCGACCCTCCCTTCTCACTTGAACACATCAGGGTCGATGGCGGCGCCAGCAGCCAGTGCAAGCTCGTACAGCTCCATCTCCTCGGTTCCCAGCACTTTCTTCCGCCGAAGCGCTAGCTTCTGCAGCGTCGTCGCCTCTAGCCCTGTGGATGTCCCGAATCCAGCACCACTACCGGCTGCCGCCATCAGCCTAGCCTGAAAAAAAGTGAGCGTTGGGCGCCGGCGGCCAGGAGACTCCACAGCGCCTCCTACCACAGGTCCCAGCCAGGCAGCTCCAGCATTGAGGGCGGGTTCGGGAGGAACCTTTACTTAGCTGATTGCTTGTTTGTACTGTGCACAGGGCAGTGAGTTAGGCAGGGGGATAGTGATGGAAAGCTGTGGGGTGAATGGCGATCAGACCCCTGACAGACCACTCTTAGGTAGCAACACTTAGAACCATGCCTGTCATATAGTAGGTATTTGGTAAAAAGCCTCTTGGATGAAAGGTATTAATGATTACATGCAATTATCTCTTCTGCTAAGAGTCCCTAAACAGCTTTTGCTTTTATGCCGCACACCCACTCCTTCTCCCCGGAATACATAAATTTGTATGTAAAAGGCTCTGACGCCATCACTGCGCATGCGTCTTTGTACCTAACCGCTGCTATCCCTATGCTCAGTTGTCTTTTGCTGTGCGCATGCTCCTTACCTTTTTGGTGGAGGCGGTTTTCCCACTAGCCAGAGGGCGTGGCTTGATGACGCACATCTCGATAAGGCGTTTTTAGTTAGTGTGGCTGTATGATGGCATCTGTTTTTGAAGCTAGGTGGACCGGCATAATGACCAGAGATGAAATCAGCAAGTCAACTTGGCCTGTGTGATGACAGTGGAAAATTCCTGATTGGCCACGGCTGGGGAGAGTGAATCTGAGGAACCAGTCAAGGAAAAGGGAAGGGATTTGGGGGCGGGGAGGAGGGAAAGGCAGGGATGGCTTTTAAGATTTGTACAGTGACACTCAATGAGATGTTTTGTCTCATAATGCTCTGTTTGGGCTTTTTAAAAATCTTTCTCGTCTTTTGCTTTTATGTTGCAATTTCCATTTACGTATTTTAATGGGTTTTGTGTGTGCACTTCTGCTTGTGTACGTTTTTTGTACTTTATCTTTGTTTTTTCTCTGTTTTATTTCAATTTGTTTTTGTTTTTTTCAGTGTGCCTGTTTTTTTCCTAGTGAGAGAGAAAGAAAGCTTTGGATTCAATAATATGTGGGGAAGTGGAGAGGATCAGGGAGGATACAGGGAGGGCAACCCGGATCAGATAATACGGTATAAAAATTAGTTTCAATAAACAAGATACATGGGATAAATAGTCTCTATTCATAGAAAACGTTGACCATTACTGGGATGGGGAGAGTTTGAAGCATCTATTCAGTACTCAGCATATCTCCTTTCTTCCCTGTGCTGGACACAGCTTCCCTGTATCTTCTTCTGGTCCTCTGTGCCTCTCATCATGTATCCTTGCTGGACCTTTAGCCAGTCACCAGGTTCCAGACCTCAGGATTAATCTTTGAGATGGATTTGTAGTCCTGGCCCTCGATGCTGTAGACATTAATTTCCATGTTGAATGGGCTCTGTCACAAGTGTGGATCATAGTGACAGGAAGCTGCTGGTGACTGAAGAGGCAGTACTGGCTGTAGGGAATGAGTTTGGCTCCAGGAAGAGACATTACAGGATTTATGTGCATCTGATCTGGCACTGGCTTCCTAAGGTGGAACATCCAAGTGTTTGCTTGCAGGATTCCAGAACATTTCCTCAGGAACTGTGGCCATGATGTACCTGTAGGCCCTGCCTCTAGTGTCTCATGGGGGTGATACTTGAGTTGCTAAATTGGTGATTCCAGCATCCAGTTCCTATTGTTCAAAACCCCCAAGAGTAAAAACAGGACACAAATCTAGGTGTTCTACAGCAGTGCCCTAGCAAAACAGCTGTCATCTTTATGAGATCAGCAGTGTCTGTTTGTAAGAGTGTGTCATGAGAGGAAGGTCAAAGTAGGTCATTACACCCACTATTGAGTCACTCCACCTGACCATTTGCATGCAATTTTGCCCTTATCATGCATGGCTTCAACTCCAGAAAATGCCAGTCTGCTATTGTCTTAGTTAAGGTTCCTATTGCTGCAAGGAAACACCATGACAAAGAAGCAAGTACATGGTTTATTTGGCTTACATTTCCACATTGATGTTCATCACAGAAGGAAGTCTGGACAGGGACTCAAAGAGGCCAAGATCCTGGAGGGAGGAGCTGTTGCAGAGGCCATGGAGGGGTACTGCTTACTGGCGTGCTTTTCATGGTTTGTTCAGAACCTTCTTATAGAACCCAGAAACAATAGCCTAGGGATGGCACTGCCCAACATGGTGCCCTCTCCCATTGATCACTAAATGAAAAATTGCCTTGCACTGGGTCTCATCAACACATTCCTTAGCTGAGGCTCCTTCTTCTGATGACTCTAGCTTGTGTCAAGTTGACATATAAAACCACCCAGTGCAGCTAGATTGTATAGGATGAGGAAGGGTAGTTGAGGGCTCTTGTATTAATACACACTCAGACACTCATTTACATACTTCCTCACATTATCGTGCTCACACATAACAACACATGCACACACACTTGTACAGTATGTTGACTAGTGTTATGTCAACATGACATACAATAGAATCATTTAGGAAGAGGGAACCTCAACAGAAAAAAAAAAAAAAATGTCCCCATCATATTGGCTAGTGGGCAAATCTGTGTTCCATCTCTTTTTTCTTTTTTGATTGATGTCAGAGTGCCCAGCTGACTATGGGAGATGCCACTCCTGAGTAGGTGGTCCTGCATGGTACAGGAGAGCAGGCTGAGCAAGCCATGGGAAACAAGCCAGTAAGCAGCACTACTCCATAACCTCTGAATCAGTTACTGCATCTGTGTTCCTGCCTTGAGTTCATGTGATCCCCAGATGATGGATCATAACCTACAAGATGAATTAAACCCTTTCCTTGCCCAGTTGATATTAGTCATAGTGTGTTATCATTCTTTGTGACTTAGCATGGCCTCTTTCCTTGACTTTACCTGTTCACTCTTCTCAGTGTTTCTGTGGAAATATCCTAGATCTCCATGCTTAACTCACTGTGGACATGAAGTATCTCTGCCAAGGAATCTCATATCAGGTAGTGTTCATCAAGGACATAATATTTTACATTTGTGTGTGTGTGTGTGTGTGTGTGTGTGTGTGTGTGTGTGTGTGTTTATGGTTTTGGCATCAGGGTAGCACTGGCTTTTACAGTGTTTGGAATGATCTTTCCTTGTCTGTTTCTTAAAGCTGCTTGAGGATCATTGACCTCCATTGTCCCTTAGAGCCAGCAGGTAAGATCCTTTATGCAATCTATTGGTCCTAGGCTGTCCTTGTATTACTCTTTCAATCTTATACTCATATCTATCACTTTACATGTTTCATAAGCTCCTGAATTTACCATCATATGCAGGGTGCAGCAGTGGGAAGGCAGCAGCTGGTGCATGTTTGGTATCCTGTTCCATCAATGTTGGCTTCTGTTTATGAATTGAGCAGTATCTCTCTTTGGGGATTGTCAACAGTCTTGAGTAGAAGGTTGCCAGAAGCCCCAAGGGTTTCCATGGATCTTACACATCTCATTCTTCTCTCATATCTCAAAAATGTGTGTCTTTTTGGGTGGTTCAGGTCATGGGTTCCTCAGATTTGATCATCCTTTCAAAGGATCAGAACTTTTCCTCTGACCTCTGCTTCCACCTCAAGAGTCCAGTTGTTTCCAGCTCTGAACTTTCTTATACTTTCTCCTAAGTTCTTTGGGGTTTGAATTTGTTTTAATCTTTGACTTCAAGATGCATAATTAGTAATAATTAGTATTCTTGAGAGATCTTTGAGTTTCATGACCTAAAAATTGATAGCCATAACCTTGTTTTTTAGAGACGATTTCATTTTTTGTTGTTGTTTTTACTTCTAGCATTTGGTGGTGGTGCCATTCTCCACCTGAAAAGGTGGAGGACATGGCAGAGGAAACATCATGGAGGGATCAAATGTACCACCAGCATCCAGACAGGCTCAAGGTGACCCATTTCCACTCCAGTTAACATTATGTGTTCCCTGAGCCACACGACAGAGGAAAACTTGGAAACTGCTAGAACAAAGAGTGTGACACTGGTCCACAATGATATCCTGCACCAGAGAAAAAAACATTACATTCTTGTGGGAAGAGAACCTCATCAAAAGGACCACTCAGTTACCAGGCCTGCACGTCTACTTATCCTTTCTCCCTTCCTCTTAAAGAGGAGATGGAAGGAACTGGCTCTGCCTACATTTGTGACATCAACAAAAAAAAAAACAGGCTTCACTAAGTCCAGCTCACCTGATTTATCCATGAGATATTAACTCACCTGTGACCATGTGCATCAGTAAACAGTCTGAGGAGACAGATTTGGTGATATGTCTGAGGAGACAATTGAGGAGACTGGCAAGACCATCACTTTCAGTCATACAAAAGGACATAACTCATCCACATCTCCAAATGAACTGCACCAGGAGGCACCCATGGCCTCTAACAAGCACAGCAGAAGGAGCTGGAAAGGGATGGGGAGGCAGCTTAGGAAGCTGTTTTGAAAGTCATGTTGCTGTCTCCCACCCCAAGAAGAAAAGATACAACATCCAGGTAAAGGATAACGAGGAATGGAAACTGGGGTCCCATGGAAATGGAGTAGGTGGGCCCATGTGTATTTGATGTTTTCTTTTCAAAGGCATTTGCCACTGACAGGCTGTACCCATTATAGGACATGAACCTTAAGGTATCTGTGATGGTAGAAGGAAATTTCCCACTGAATCCTGCTCATAAGAATCCAGGAAAGGTTGAGCCAGAAGCAAACAACAGAGTGTATTACCTGGGCATGGCAATGCAGGGAGATGGAAGGGAGGAGAGCTTTGGGAAAGGGAGCACAGGTTAGGAAGGGAGGAATCTGTGGAGAACTTTGGTAGCACAGGGCAGCTCTTTGCTAAGTCCTTATATGTCAGAGCCACTAACACAGTCCTGTGTGTGTGTGTGTGTGTGTGTGTGTGTACGCGTTTTTTTTCCAAGGGTTGAAGATGAGGCCCAGGCCTGTGGTGCCTAAACCATGGATCTGTGTTCAGCCTGATGGGGCATAACAGTCCTTGAAGGAACCAG